ATTATTAGAGGACTTGCGTAATCATTCCATATTTAGAATTTGCATTTCTTAATATGATAGGATGAAAATACCCCGTAAAATACCACAAAGTCACGCCACGCTATAACTTATAGCATTACGTGGTCAGTTGTATAATAATAATTGATAATTTCAATTGTTTTACAGATTTATTATTAAATTATGGAGAATTCAGCGTATGCAATGTTCACGCTGATCACATTTCTACAAATCAATAAGGTAAGTCATTTAAGCACATTGATACTGTATGGGTTAATGACATTACGGTACGGGTACAAAAATTTAAAAAAAATTGGATTCATTTGACAGTTTTTTGAAATACAAGAATCCTAAATGTTATGGAAAATGTCATGGTTCCCATGGTGACATTATTTGTTCATATCTCAAAATTGTGCACAGAGAAATGGGATGGAAAAGAAGTATACATTATTGATTGGAATCCTGATAATGTTTTACATTTAAAAAATTGACCCACATACACTTAATAAGTATTTGTATGACTTTTAATGGTCAACCACCATGCAGTTATAACATTCCCACAGGTAGGGGGCGCCGTTCACAAACATGAAGCACAAAAAAATTGTGAGGCTTATGTACTGCAAACCACTTAATCTCTGCTGAAAGGTTTTATGACAACAAAATTTCATGAAAGGTGCTGACTCAAAAAACTCAGAATATTTTACTCTCAGGAAAATAAAATACATGTACTTTACAGTATTTAATGTTTATAAAAAAAAATAACAGAGTATAGATAGTAGCACGACAGTAGTATTTAAATAATTCAATCTCAGATGTCAGCATCACTGAATATCAGAATTAGTTTTGGATTATTAATTTATCTTTTGTGAATACCGATAATAATAATAACTTTATTGTCTCATTGTAAATAATTTTATATTGGGTTATAGCTGAAAGTGATATTTTATCAAATTTGATGGAATGTATGTAAATAAATGAATAATATATTAGTTTAAGAACCTCTCTGTTGTACATACATGCTGACATGCTCACCAACTTAATCCTGGTAATACTAATACACCTCATTTGTAGGTTGCAGAAGTTCCTTTGACCTCATTGGAGCAAGCCAATTGTACTGGTGCTACACAATTCTGGGATGGTAGATGCAATGAATGTACTGACTGTGGCATTGGGTATGGACCGTCTGGGGTAAGAAATTATAATCCAATTCCTGATTCTTGAAGAATAGAATCTGCAATTTTGTCATTTTTTGCTTGTGCATAGTGTGATCCTAGGTAAACAAACTATTCACACCCGAGCCGAGGGAGTCAGGAAGTCAGACAGATTACTCTACCGTCAAAATATTCATTAAAATCTGAAAATTTACCGTCATGCAAAGCGATACCTCATGTATAACTTCACTTTGACTTCAAATTCGGGCAACCACAATGTAAACAAACATGTAAACAAAATTATCACTATGAAATTTTTTTTTTTTTAACGGTGATGCACATCAAAACCAGCCTACCAACTCATAAACATCCAGTTCCTACAATGTAAAGATTAATATCGGGAATTATGTTCATTTTCTAGTTTTAATAGGGAAAAAACTTTGCGTGCCAACATGCTGACATTGCTAAACAAATCTTGTTAAAATGGCGTTGTTCGTGTTAACATGATCGATCGAAAAACCTGTGATATTTCTG